AGCAACACAATCCTTATGCAAAAAAGAAGTTGCTCACAATAGTGGAAAGGAGCATACACACTCACTAATGCACACTAGGAGTCCGAGATATGGTTTGATTTCCATCCTTCACAAATGCCAGATGGAGGGCCCCCCATATGTTTACATAGGATCTCATGGACGTGGATCTTGCCGGCAACCCCCACGATCCACACTCTGGCCCCATTAAAGAGACTGATTCAGGATATTGACAAAGGATGGTCCACACAACCAACCTGAGCTGACATGATGCTGACGTGACATACATGAGACCTGTATAATACATGTCCCATGTTCCAGCATATGTCAGCCTTGCAAACGCAACCCTGGAACGCAAAGCCTGGGGCCGACAGAAAATCCATTGTTTTTGATCCAGGGCAGTACATATTGTCAATGGTGGCACAGCTGTAGCCCTCCGCAGTCCTGAGTGGATAGTGATCAAAACCCGGCCCTTGAGAACAACAACATTCTCTCATGTCATGCAAAGTTGTTTCAAACAAGAAACCATTCTTTGCTGGCAGCCGCTTGGCCAGCAAACAAGTCCAAAAACTGAAAACGGGGCTGAACTGGAGGGAGGTTTGTGGACCACATCACCAGCAAGGTGATCCCAATAAAGACCTAAGTGGGGCCAGAAAACCAACACAGCCTGGGCCCCATGAAATGGATTGAGTGTCCCACCTTTGGTGCATTGAGCTGCCGCAAGTTGAGCACTATCGATTCACAATCCATTGCCAGTCCCAGGGAGGCAGCTAAGAGCAAACAAAACAGCTAAGGGTATCAGCGGAATTGTGCAAAAACATTCCCTTGCAAATTCCTGCCATTCATGAGTGAGGCCACTCGATCCACGCCTTCTGCACTGAGCGCTCGAATGGCCCAAGTCTCAGAAATGGGCATGGTGACCTCCAAGAAGGGAGCACGTTCAGAAAAGAATTAAACATTGATCAATCAGCTGGTGTGTGCATGTGTTTCTCAATTGTATCGATCGTAATGTTTTTTGTAAACAAAGTGCCGTGCAACGATCAACAATTGATCTGTTTTTTTGAGACCCCTTTGCCTTCGCGTGCTTCATGGCCTACAGACACGAAGGCTACTGTGCACTCCATGCCTTTGGCATCCACGTGAAACCCCCACAAACCCATGGCTAGCATTTCAGATAGCCAGTCACATCCACAAGGTCCCACCAGGAACCATGCACATAGATCTAGGTGGCCGCTGCATAGGCCTGAGCCCAATTCTGTATGTAACAAACTAAGGGGCCATGCATCCATGTGCACATATCAACCACCTTTGTCATGTGACCATGATCGAAACATATAATTAAGCTGGGCAACCGCTCGTCCAATCTTCTTCGCTTCATCCTCACTGTGCCCATTCTCCAGTGCCTCCTTCCTGGCTGCAACATAGGCCGAAGACTTTCGACTTCTCTCTGCATTCTTCTCTTTCTTCTTCTTCTCCTCCTCCTCAGTCATTTTGGCACGTTTGCCATTGGTTGCCTTTGTCTCAATCTTCTCATTCTGATCTTTCACTTTCTTTCCCTTTGGCTCCCGTTTGCAAGCCTGTGCTGAATCCTGCTTCAAGTCGCTGCCATGTTCATGGGTCTCATCACCCTGATTCTGATTCTTCTTTGCCCTTTTCCGCACAGGCTTTGGCTCCTCCTCCTCCTCCTTCTTGACCATCGTCTTCCTTGCCTTCACTGCCTTTTCATCAGCCTCACCACCACGTTTCTTTCGAGCTTTCTCTCCATCATCCTGCTTCTTTGAATTGCTCTTGGGCTTGGTTGACTTCTGCTTGGGCTCCACAGAGGTCCTTCGGGGCTTGCGCTGCGCCGATCTTGGAGCCTTCTTTGCAGATTTCTTTGGGCTACATTCTTCCTCTTCGATGTTCGCCTCTTCCTCATCCTCTGTATAGTGCTGAGTCTCACTGTCAGACTCATCATCCTTTTTCTTCCCACGTCCTCCACCACGCCCATTCCCACGTCCTTTGCCACGCCCTTTTCCGCCTCCTCGTCCAGATCCTTTTGCTGAAGCTTTCTGGCTTTTCTTTTGATCTTGTGGGGTCACAGTTGGAAGACCATTCAGAATTGCTGGCTTGGGGTCTTCTGGCAAGACTTCTTCTTTCTTCTGCGTTGCCTTAACTGCTGTGCTGTCCTTCTTGGAGTCGAGAAGAGCCTTCAAAGCCTTCTGAGAGTCATTCTCACACTCTGCCAAAGCAGCCTCTGCTTCATCTTTGCTAAAGCCCATTCCCATGAACTCCCGCAGAACTGCTGGAGTCGCTGGAGTTGAAGGTCGAGAAGCACTAGGCTCAGCAATCTTTGGATTTGGCTCTGGCTGAGGTATCTTTGCCTCTTCTTTTGGTGGCTCCACTTTGGGAGCAGCTTCTTTTGCGTCAATGCCAGCATCAGCTGGGCTCACACCACCAAGCTGCAATGTCACCTCTCCACCTTTCATATCAGCGAACCGCTTTGGGGTACCAGGATCTGGAACCTGACTTTCTGCAAAGGCAGCCCCGCCATCCAGCACTCCATCATAGGGGACAGTGTCAAAGCCATCCAGGCCTTGGTGCAACGGTACTTATATTTGAGCACTAGCTAGAGCTGACTCAAGATGTGTGCCTGTGCAATTAAAGAAAACTGACATGGAGCCAAGCTACAATTCGAAGGGGCTGCAGAGCTAGAAGCTGGAATGGTCGAGTTCAAGTGCGAAGCCAAATCAGACAAAGATTTGGCCTTCTGCTCTAGCTGTTCGTTCTGCACCTCAAGCTGTTGTTGAATCAAAAGCTCCTCTAAGAGTTCCTGTTCAAGCTGTAGCCTCTCAAGTTCTTCCTCCATGACAGTAGTCTCAGGGACATGCTCCACCAAGAGCGGGAACTCCTGTTCTTGAGGGATCTCTGAAAATGAGATTGCAGTCGGTGAGATGCTGGCTCTGATTCGCTTTCCCCCCTGACAAACAAGTTGCCAGACTGCATCAGGCTCCTTCCGGCAAATCTTCCCAATCTCTTCCACCCAGCAAGTAGAGAAGGACACCACCATCTCTGAAGCAACAAAACTGGTCTCAAGTTTCTTCACTTCCTCACCCACACTCTTGCGGCAAGGGACACCTTTAATAGAGTCAAGGTTGCCAGACCGTAGCCCACATGAAGCACATTCCCACAAGTCATTGTTATGGGAGATGTTGTGGTGGTAGGCCTTCTCAGTACTTGGCAGCTCCAAGGAGTGTCCTTACAAGGATTGCCAAACATGAATGTCAATTTAAGTGATACTGAACAATATTCAGCATATTTGCAAACAAAGGGTCCCCTGGGGGAAGGATGTGGGGTTGCTGTCACCGATGATGGACCAGACGGAGCGCCAGCCTTGTCCTCAATTGAGGTGATATGGAGTTGACCGAGCTTGTCAGCAGCTTCATTCACAGCATCTTCACCTGTGGCTGGGTTTGCACAGGGAACTAGGAAAACAGACATAGGACAATAGAAGGGGCATGAAGGGAGTGTTCTCGACAAATGGAGTGCCAACATCAAACCCTCATTCCAGGATGAAACGTGTTTGAAGTTTTGGGATCCAAGTCCCAAACAGCTTTCAATTCCATGTTGAGCCCCACACACACACCCAAGAAGATTTCTTGCCCGCCTGATGAAGGTTTGAGTGCTTCAGGTTCCACCTCTTCATCCTAGGCATTTCAATCCAAGAGGGATAAGTACCGGGCATGGGCATTGGGCATGGCTACTTACTTTGCACTTGTCAACATTGAACATCCAGCCAGGGTACTGTTTGTACATCACTGCTTTCTTCACCCTCCGCATCATCTTCAGAGTCTGAAGGCTCTCTCAAACCTCAACTGTTCCCATCAAAAAGGTTGCTGGGGGAGAGGGCGCACGCACACACACAAACACACCGAAATCATAAGCCTTAAATGCTGTGTAGTCACGTGGGTCAGCTGGCAACGGGATACCAGCCTGCTGATAGATTTCACGCATGCCGGGTTCTCTGGGGTAGTGTCCACGCTTGGCAGCACGATTGAAGATCGTCACTAGCCGCTTGATCTTCCACGCTTCCAAACGGACTTTGCTACCTAGGCCAAATTCAACCAGGCAAGTCCTTTGTACATCAGCTCCCTAACCCCCTACCCCCCAAAAAAGACCAGCATTTATTGATCAAGTTGAGGAACCAGAAACATGGGGCTTCCCACGTGGCCGGGCAAAGGTCAAGAACATCTCCACTTGTTCATGGATACCATCAATCGTGACACGTGTTCCAAGATGTTCCAAAAGGGGCCCAATCACATCAGAATTGGTCACCACATCTGCGCGCTCGATGTATTGCTTTGGTAGTGCAACCAGACTTCCCTGACTTCCCCGATTCATCAGCACATCAGATTTTGACCATTCCTCCACCACCGGCGAAGACAGAGGCATGGCGTACAAGAGGCACTTCCTTTTCAGGAAACCCTGATCCATAAGCTTGGTCCACCACCTAGAGTCCTACAGGCCAAATGCCTGCAGAATTACAGAGGTCAAGGTTTTGAAACGACTGTAAATGTCTTGCAGAGCACCTTCCCCAGACCGTGCCTAAAAGAAAATTCCTGACATGGCCATCATTCTGTACCTGCCCAGCCAAGCCAAGGCAAGCAGATCTTGGCCCGCACACACAAAACATGCACTGGCCCTCTTGGACTGCAGACTTCCCAGGGCGCACGTGGCCAGGCACCAATATCCCTGACCCATAAAGCCAAATGGCTGTTCAGATGGCTCAAAACCATCTCAAAACATCTCAAAACCAAAAAGTGCTCGAATTAAGAAAAACTGCTCGAGACGTGGATTTGCGGCACCAATCAGAGTTTTGGTAGCGATTCATGCATTTTGGTATCGAAAGGCTGGGGGGGCAGGAATTTACATAGCGTTAGAAGGCCCTGGTAAACATGTTTCTTTTGCTACATCCGGCAATGCCGCTGGCACACTCCCCTGACCCCAAAGCGAGCTACCATGGCCTCCATCTGCGCTTTCCGGAACACCGCACCGTGCCGAATGGGAACCAGCAAGCTGCGGCGAGAAGCATCGAAGGAACGTCGAGCGGTGTCCTGGTGATGGGAGTTTCGAGCCATTCAACAAACGTCAAAACCAAGCTCCACCGAGCCAAACGACTTCGGGGTTGAAGATGACCATAGATGACCCCTTTAAGAATCGATTCAAGAGAGACCAGCGAGACCAAGCATGTGACTGTGCTACATTCCATAGATCAGCACACGGCCAACTCTCAGTGACGGCAAGATGGACAAATTGGAATGGACATGAATGGACCACCATTGAGCACCACTTTGACCACGATGTCAAAGCGAAACTGGCACGACATCTAGTATAGAAAGAGACATAATATTAATAAATAAAATAAACTATATATTATATATATATGTAGATTGTCCTTAATGTTAGGTAATCTGTATCTTGTTAATTGGTCCGTGTAGCACACATGTTCCACCCAAGCTCTCAAAGATTTTCCTTTAGCTCCGGAGCTCTAGACTAGACACAAGACACTTGGTTGGGCAGCGTTTTTGTTGAGTCTCTACCTCAAAGCTGCCAAACCAAGCATGCCAGCTAGATGCCCAGCCAATGAGAACTAATGTAGTCTGGAATCCTGGAAGATCAAATTCCTCTCTGATGATGATTATGTGATAATTCCTACTATGTTGCAATAATGAGAGGTATCATCCATGTAACTATTTTTTTGCATGAAAATACATACTAATGCATGACGTATCATGACATAATATCTTCGTTACTTTGACAGCCTCATGTTGCAATGCGCTGCCGGCCGTCACTCATCTGCTGGCTGATCCTCCCAAGCGGCCACGTAGAAGCTCAAAGTCTTGCTCAAGCGTAGAAGCCAGAAAGACTCAAAAGCCCATCCCTGTACATCCCTGTTTGCATTCATAACAGTCGACATAGAATTGCCATTTCCTTTCGAACACCAGAACACCAGCAGAAACAGAAACAGGACTCAGGACACCGAAAACATAGGTATCTCTGAAAGGTTTTACAGAGATGTCCAAGTGACTCACAGCAAAATGACAATGCGAGATGCACCTTGCAGGTATATGCAATGATACTTGCAATGATATATTAGATCATGACATAACTGGCGCAAATTGTGGGAAGTACTCCCTCGCCTTTGGGAAGAGGCGCCCACGCGGGGTGCTCTCTCTAGTTGTCTCCCACAGAAATGCTCCGAGTATGTCAAGTCTGCTCCTGCTGCACCAAGGAAAATAATTAACGATCGAGCTTTGGCTATGTCCCACCTCAAAACATCCAGTGAACATAATTAAGGCATTAAGGTGACCAAATCAGAGTCCTTGTCTCGGCGGTGCCTGGGCTGCAGCATGTCCCAACACCACCAATTCAGGTGGTGTCAAACATGTTCAACCTCATCCAACATATGGCTGTCTGGGCACCAGGAGACCTTTGTTGACCCGGTTCCGGGTCGGCGACTCGGCGACTCGCCTCCGACCGATTCCGAGGCTCAACCAAGGACTGACGGCCTCCTGGCGCCTGGCAGCTTCCTACATGTTGAGGCTCCACATTAGACTGGGAACCTTGGAGCTCTCCAAAACGTCCAAAATCCATGCACTGAGACACCTGATTCTGACCGAGGAGCCGAAGGACGGGTCCATGCATGTTTGAGGCGTCCGTATCAACTCGCACCGTTTGGGGAATAAATGCTTGAGGCCTCTCAACCAGTGGATGTTCATCTGGTTTGGTATTGCAGAACCCTCTCAGGAACCACATCGGAAGGGAGTCGGCCCAAAGACTTCGCAAAGCCCTTGCCAGTTCGGAGGAATTGATCTATGGGAAACTTAAGGTGCTAGACTCAGTCTATCACTTCCTGTTGTGCCAAAAAGTCATGATTCAATCCTTCGTCAATAAACCTCGCTTTCAAGCCGCTGAAATGAACGTTTCATCGAAATTCCCTCTACAGTACCAATCCCACAGCTCCGCCCAGCTCAAGGAGCCAAATGTCTCTGGAGCTGTTCCAAGGCCAGGACTTCCTCTTGTCACGGACTTCGCCGTTGATCATTTCTTCAAACCAGGCCTCCGATTTTGGGTCGTGTGACTCTTTTTTCAGCAAGCTTTGCCCAGGTGGTGTCTTCAAACAAGAAACTCAGGTCATCAGTAGACTTCAGTCATCCACTCACTATCCTGTTTTTTTTTTTGGAGGCATCGTGAGAAGGCCTCGTGCTGGGGTCTAGATGTTGCAGATCCAAACAATCACCATGCCCTGAAGCTCAAGTCATCTACGGCTTCCACCAACAAGTCATGACCGTTGCTTCATGACCGTTGGCTCGAAAGTCCAAGCGAACAAAACTCCAAGTGGCTGTGGCGAACCACCCGAAATGACTGATTTGGAACCCCCTCAGGTCCCCTCGTTCTTCGCTTCCGATGCTTCCTCATCGGAAGCATAGGGAACTTCGGAACCAGCCTCTCTCTATATATATATACTGATACATGCATGCATGTGAACAAAGACAACGTCCCTTATTTGTCCTCACTCTTGCAAACAGTTACCACATAGCTCCAATCCTGAAGGATGGTTCATGGTGCTTTTCCGAGCGAAAGCACAGTTGGACACATGGAGCGCAGTTGGACAGTCTTGGACGTCAAACATGGCGCGCATCGGGTCGCCGCCATGAAAAACGGGTAGCCGCAATAGTCAGAACTCACAGGTTTCGATATTTCTCCCCATTCCTGGACCTATGGGATCAAGTTAAACCTATGAGTCTCCAGCAGTGGCTTCGCTCACATCTCAATCCACCCAGCGAACTCCCGCAGCGAAACTCCCCGCGCGAACTCGCGCCGCTTGATCACGGTTGCGATCCACCAGTCGGCGGACCACCCAGCCCTGCTCCTCAACGACTGCTCGTCTTTGGGGTGAGTGAGTGGGCTGGGGTTTCCCCCCGAAAATCAAACCAATCACAATCCTTCAATCAAACACGGAGCCAAAACTAAGTTGAACAACATTTATACGGACTTATACAACATTGGATTGCTGGGAGTTGCTGGGGCTGATCGCTCGATTCTGAATGCACACCCATGAGGCCGACACACAAGAGTCGATGTTCAATTGAAGAGAGAGAGAGAGAGAGCGACAGAAAGAGAGAGAGAGAGCAATCAAACTCCATTACGAATGGTTTCAACCTGTCATTTCACTTTTAAACACCCAGGGCCCAGGGTGTAGGCCCTATGCCGCCTATGGTGATGCCAGCTGATGGCACAGAGTTGCAGTTGCCAGCTGAGGTCTCGAAAGGATGATACCCATTTCGAAGAGCTTTGAAGTGGATCAAGTCTAATTGTAAGTGCTGAGAGATGCTGAGAGTATCCTTTGTGATACGATCGAAATGCATCCTGTGTTTTTGGGTCTGTCGTTTCCCCTCTCACTACATAGACAAAACATCTCTTCTTCCAAACATGTTTTGGTGAGCTTACTCGCCTCTCCGTCCCAACTCCGCAAGAAAGCGGATCTTATATAGCTCAGTGGAATCTGTTCACACATCTCATGCCATCATATGCCATCCCTCAACACCTCATCAACCATCCCTCTTCCCATCCTCCCCAGCTCTCACCCCAGCCCAGGCTTTCAAAACCAACCACCGTGTCGCACTGGGGCCCCGGCACCGCCAGCTGTATCTAGCTTCACTGGCATGACCATGTAACCACGGACCTTCTTGGAGTGGCCCACCTGAGTGACCATCTCACCATTCTCCAAGTACCTGCAACCGAGAAGGAGCACGCGGCTCTATCACCGTGATGGCAGTCCTCCATGCGTTGGGACCCGGTGGGTGGCGGTGGGGCTGTGTTGTCTCGTGAGTTAGCCCAAGTATCTATAGTGAATGGAACCCATGTGAGGTTCACGCGATCTGGGGATGGTTCGTATCAAATGTATCAAGTCCACATACATTCTGATGAGAAGGTGTCCGGGGTGGCTTCTGAGAAAACATCATGTGGAGTTGAACAAAACTGCTTGTGATTTCCTGGATGTCCATCTTCAATCATCTTCAATCCCCTGCCTGATCAGCATGTCACTAGGCGGGACCTTGCCAGAGCCCGGAGCGTACCTCGCTCTGTGCGCCAGTGTAAAGCAAAGCAGAAGACAAACCATGCATGTCTCAGACTCAGAAGTGCTGACTTTTGACCGCTCAGCAAGTCCTAGCAGTGTCTTCCGCTTCCTAAGACCTAAGATAGGCTGAATGGCGACTTTCATGCTGCAATTCCTTGCAAGGCACAATCAGTTGGGATCTTTTTCCACTGGCAAAAGACACTTGATCGTGTCGCCGTCTTCAAGCGCTGCCATGACTGGCATGCTGCGGTAGTCTGTTGATCAACCTTTAAGATGCATTTCCCGTTTGCTTTACTTCCGACTCCCACAATTGATTAGGAATTCACGCTGCACGCATCTTATAAAGACTTCCAAGAAACAAAATCAAGCAACCCTTCTTTCGAACCTTCAGGCAGTGCCAGAAGTACCCAGCCAAACTTCTGCACCCCAGTTCTGACTTCCACACCTACCGAGCTCGTTGTGTTCCAAGCCAATCTCAGCTGCTCACGGCTCGCATTTTCTCACCAGCGGAAGATGATCCGCGTCCTGGCAACGGGATGTGACAACAACCATCACTGACTGACTGACTGACTGACTGACTGACCGACTGACTGACTGACTGACTGACTTCACAAAATCGATCTCAAACAGGGAACCAATAGATGATCAATAGGTGACATGGGTCTATGTTCTCGAGATATGGGTGACTTATGGGTGACGTCGTTGCCCCCCTCACCCGATCGTTGTGCCCCGTGTTGCCCCGCTCTGCGAGATGCGCGAGCCCAGAACGACCCAAAACGCGTTAGGTGCCGAAAACGGAGCCACAAATTGACGTGAATCGAAGGGAGAAGATGGACCCAAAAAGGAAAACAACACAGATTTGTTCTTGTACCACAGGAAGAAGTTCGCAATTGATCTAAACGGTGATGTGAGGCGGTGTTGGATTTTCTGACGAACTTGGGCAGGACTATACCAGTTAGTGTATGAAGCTGAATTCAAGCCTTTTCGACTTACGTCTGGATTGATATGTTCTTCGTTGTTACTTATAG